TGCCTCCGTTCTGAGAGGTATGATTTCAATAATTGTAGCACATTTCCTCGGAATCCAACTTCACTGAGCTTTTTAATGATTATGTCATGGTCTACCGTGCCAAATGCTTTGGATAAGTCCAAAAAGATCCCTACTACAAGGTCATTATTCTCAAGGGCATTGGTGATTTATTCTTGAATCAGCATAATTGGCATAAGAGTAGAATTTTTCTTTTTAAATCCAAATTGCTTTTCTGTAAGAACGTTTCCTTTTGTTATGAAATCTGACATCTGATTAAATGCTATTTTTTCCAGGATTTTTTATATTACTGGCAAAATGCTAATTGGCCTGTAATTGGAGATACAGTCAGCATCACCCTCTAAAAAATTGGTTTAACTTCTGATATTTTCAGAGGTTTAGGAAATATCCCTGTTGAGAGGCAAATATTGAAGAAGTAGATGAGTTTTGACAGCATTGGTTTATATGTGTATTTCAATATTTTACTGTTTATTCCATCAATACCAGCCCCTACATTTTTTAATTGCAGTATAATTTGTTCGACATCAATCTCACTGACCTTACTAAACGCTGCTATTTCATCAGTTGCATTTTCAATGTTTTCTAGGGGATCTATGTTAATGTTGGTAATGTTTTTTTTTCAATCTTTCTCATATTTCAGTAAAGAACATGTTGAATTTCTCTGCCATTAATCTTGCTGCAGCATGTTTATTATCAGGGCTTTGCAGTTCATTTGGTAGGATATCACATTTGCTTTTTTTGTTTTGGCAGCTGACTGAGCATCTCCCATGTCCTCTTTGGGGTTTTTCTGTATTTTGTAAACTCTGCATTGTAGTAAGACTTTTTTTGCATTCAATCTATATTACTATTTGAGGAGGGTGCGTCTGTCCGTTACCGAGGTCCCGACTTGGTGGTGCTTTGCGTGGACTACAGGCCAGACCGTTGCACCTAGCCCGGTGAAATTTGTACAACTTATAGATCAAAGAGGCGCGACGTGCCTTTGAGGGGTCTCAGCTGGATCGGGTCGTTAGTGAGCGCGTGGCGCGTGCCCAAAAAGTGCAAACTCGCGTCAGAGACTTTACATGTATAAATCGGCGTGCGAAATCGAGCAAAAACGGCTAATTTTGGCCGACACGGGTCCGGTTCCGGCGCAATATCTTGGTGACCAGGGGTCCGACCGGCACGGGGAAACAGCATCGTGTACAGAATTGAACGGGCTATTGAATGGTGTGCAATGCAGAGGATAGCACGCGCCACGTGCACCGGAGAGGGCACTTTAATTCGAAAAATTGCGGTTTTGAGGGATTTTGGAATTAATTTTGTTTTTAGGTGATCGTTAAATGGAGCGAGTTGAATCAACGCCTATTTGCAAGAGAAAGGTACCGCCTCTCATATAAAAATTGTGCAGGGCTGATTGATCCAAATCAAGGTGGTGCAAATCACAGGAGAAAATGGTGTTTGTCAATTTTGTGCCACTTTATTAATCACACGGGGTTTGCTGCATAACCTGATACCTTTGGCAATTGAATATGGTACCATTGGATAGAGCATTCAATTCTGTCCAATATTCACTCTTCATTTTTGCATGATAAGCAACAGTATCCTTAACCCGCGCCGGGCCGGGGGGGGGGGGTGTTTGAACACCCCCCTTGCGGTTTTTCGCAGATATCTCAAAAACGGCGGCGCGGGGCGCCGCCGTTTTTGGCACACCTGTTCGTGCATCTTTTCCGCACATGTTGTGAAAATTGCAGACCAAGGTCACCTTAGGTCAGGTCACCAGGTCACGCCAAGTGACCTCACCTCAGAAAAAATAAGAATGCTCGTCATAGCTACACCGACTGAACGATTGCCTTGAAACTTTCAGCGATTGATTAGAGCAACACTATCTATAAAATGTTTATCTCGGAATTTTGATATCGGTGACCTAAGGTCAGGTCAATTTTGCGGCCTCTCCATTATAATTCAAAGGGAGAAAATTGAAAAGCGCCTGTTTTGCATGAACGCTATTCTAGACACTCTCAAACATCGAGATGTAGGTAAAATAGACACACTGAACCAGAAAATGGCAACTGTGACCCCTCGTTATGTCCCCGAGGTCATCTCAGGTCACGAACAGAATCTAACAGTTTTTCGATGATAACTTCTGATAGAGGCGTGCTAGAGCGCTGAAAACGCCTTAGATGTGTTCGGCTCGACGTTGCGGATCGACTGATATGCAACATGACCTTTTCCGGTCAGGTCATGACCTTGACCTAAGGTCAAATTTTCAAGTTGACCTTTCAAGGTCAAATTATAGTTCGTTCGACGCGTCTCGACGAGAGGAACACGATGCTGGCAAAAGTAATGTCATAGCTCTTTTGAGTCAAAAGTTATTGCCGAAAAAACGTTTTTCGTAAAAACGGCTATTTTTGGAGTTTTTGCCCTCTGGAGGCTAAACCGTTGACCTGAGGTCAAATCTGAGAACATTACTCAGAAAGGTCTGTAAAAGGGCTATCGAATGCGCTTTTTTGCGGCGCTGTAGCTCTATCGGTTCCCGAGATAGCCGTTGGCAGTTTCCAAAATGTTGAAATAGTCAACATTTTACCTTTGGTGACCTCTGGTGACCTGACCTTTGACCTGACCCAAAAAATGACTGAAGTGTTTTCGTCCTTATTTTTGACGTTCTTTCGATTGCCGCTTACCGCGTGTCGCTACGTGGCCCAGGAGCCGAGTTAGAAGGGGGGGGGGGGGTGTTCAAACACCCCCCCGCGGCCCGGCGCGGAATTTCAGAGCACCGGCCCGGCGCGGGTTAAAAATGTAGGGTAGCCTGGGGCAAGACGCCCCAGATAATTTATTTTGCTACATAACTTTTATTCCACATAACCTGGAAGGCCAAATTTGAGCTCAATGCGTTCTTTGGACATTTTACTTTAAATTCCACCCCTCAAATTCATTCACTTATGATCGGACTCCCAGCTAGGAAGTGGTTTGTGAAGCAACTGCAAATAGGGCGTTTTGCCCCAACCCCAGGGCAAAACGCCCCACGGCCTGGGGCAAGAAGCCCCATACTCTAGATTAAAGATTAAACATGCTAGTATAGTCCTATTAACCCGCGCCCGGCTGGGGGTCCTGGATTTCCACGCCCTGCTGGGGGGGGGGTGTTTGAACACCCCCCTTGTAACTCGGCTCCTGGGCCACGTAGCGATACGCGGAAGGCGGCGTTCGAAAGAGCGTCAAAAATAATGACGAAATCATTTTTTTGTCAGGTCAAAGGTCAGGTCACCAGAGGTCATTGAAGCCAAAATTTCGCCGATTTCCAGGTCGAATGGCGAAAACTTCCAAGAAGCCAACGCATAACTCGGGAACCAATAGAGCTACAGCGCCTCGGAAAAGCGCATTCGATAGCCCTATTAACGCCCTTTCTGAGTAATTCTCTCAGATTTGACCTAACGTCAACGGTTTTGCCTGCAGGGGGCAAAAACTGCAAAAATAGCCGATTTTTTCGGAAACAGTTTTTCTGCAATAACGTTTGACTCAAGCCCTGTACGAGCTTACTTTTACCGGCATCGTGTTCCTCTCGTCAAGACGCATCGAATGAACTATAACTTGACCTTGAAAGGTCAACTTGAAAATTTGACCTCAGGTCAAGGTCATGACCTGACCAGAAAGGGTCATGTTGCATATCAGTCGATCCGTATCGTCGAGCTGAACACATCTAAGGCGTTTTCATCGCTCTAGCATGCCTCTATCAAAAGTTATTTGCGAAAAACTGTTAGATACCATTCGTGACCTAAGATGACCTCAGGGCATAAACAAGGGTCACGGACACCATTTTCATGTTCAGTGTGTTTAAACCACTTGTAATTCGGTGTTTGGGAGTGTTTATAATGTCTTTCGTCCAAAAGAGGCGCATTTCAATTTTCTCCCATTGACTTATAATGGGGAGGCCGCAAAATTGACCTGACCTTAGGTCATCGATATCAAAATTCTGAGATATACATTTTGTACATGCTATTGCTCTTAGCAATCGCTGAAAGTTTCAAAGCGATCGGTCACTTGGTGTAGCTATGACAGACATTGAAACTTTTTATGAGGTGAGGTCACTTCAAGTGACCTGGTGACCTGACCTTGAATGACCTTGGCCTGAAATTTTCACAACATGTGTAAAATTGATGTATGATCAGGTGTACCAAAAACGGCGGCGCTCCGCGCCGCCGTTTTTGAGATATTCGCGAAAAACCACAAGGGGGGGTGTTCAAACACCCCCCAGCAGGGCGCGGGTTAAGACAATTACGATAAGTATTATGCTTTGGTATGGGTTAGGTTGTTTTAGTTTGTTGGCAAATAGTTAATTTTTGTGATTTATTGAACAGAGGAGGGCTGGGGTCATCAATGGCTTGATGAAACTGTTTTTCCTTGAACAAATTATTGTTTTTGAAAACATGAAAATACCCTCCTTGTAACATTCCACTTTTTTTTTTACATGCTATTTCAGGATCAGTTTGCATATCCAAATCCTCAAGTTTGGTTACTAAATGTTATATGGGATTATCCAATTTATTGCAGTCAAAAACTGTTTTGCTTGTATCTGATTTTTTGATTTCCTCCTTTTCTATATTTGTGGTTACAAATATTGCAAGATCATCTGAGATGTCAGCTAGAATAATTCCTGACAACCATATCTTGACAAATCATTTGTTAAGATATTGTCAATGAGCGTATTTGATGTTGGGGTAATAAGAGTTGCCTTAGTGGGTGGGTAATTTAGTGGGTAGAAATTTGGAACCAATAGTACGCTACAATGACCACGTCTTTGTTACTATCATCTGTGAACTATGATGTGATTGTTATTCGCAATTTATATGGAAAACAAGCCAGCTATGAAGTCTCTCTCTCTCTCTCTCTCTCTCTCTCTCTCTCTCTCTCTCTCTCTCTCTCTCTCTCTCTCTCTCTCTCTCTCTCTCTCTCTCTCTCTCTCTCTCTTTCTCTCTCTCTCTCTCACTCTCACTCTTGGGACATCTTACCGGTAACAATAAGGGTCATTGCAATTGACCCCTGGTCAGCCACTTCTCTGCCTCCTCCGGTGGCCGCGCTGCCGAGAAAAGAACAGAAGATATTAGTTGCATATCGATTGAAAGCTGACAAAACCGGGCCCTTCCCGAATTCGAGGAACATATCTTTGAAAAGCTAGCTAAGTCTTCCAGCATCTTATCCGACGTAAAACTGTTAACCGGTTGGCAATTTTTAACCCTCGCCCGCACATGCCATTTTCCCATCATAGAACGCACATGGGGGGGGGGGGGGGTTGCCACCCCCCCGCGCCATTTCGTGTCTGTTGGAGATAGAGCTTCGCGGTAAGGACCAAAAAGATTCTTTGGGAAGAGACGAATCCAATGATACCCAGTTTTACCTTCTCAGGTCAGTCATTGACCTTCCAGGTCAGGTCAAACTAAAAAATATTGCTGTTTTGGGTCACCGTTGGATATCAAGTGCGCTGCTTATCATATACCGATGACGATGCCGTTTTCTGGTGCCAAGCCAGCTAGAACCTCTTTGTCACACTACCCGACCAGATTTTTGCTGCTGAGGTCATTTCAGGTCAAGTTAGGTCAAGGTCAATTATATGTGTTTGTATGTCTGTGTGTGTCTGTGTGTATACTGATGTGTGCACCGATTGTTTATGTGTCCATATTACATGAAATCATGATCTGAGAAGCTTTTACCAAAAATGCATTTAAAAAACATTACAAAAAGTAAATTTCGCTTGCCTGAAACACAATTATCTTAGATGACCTAGGTTGACCTTGACCCTGACCTTGACATCTATACATCGTCGAACAACATGTTCCATGATAGGTGGGAGGTAAGACTGGCAAAAAAGGCCGAAATCAAGGTGTCAAAAGCTCACAAGGCCCATAGCCAACGCAAGATGTTGAGAATTGGCCATTTGGGTCATGACATGACCTGAAAAACAAGGTCATATCTCCGAAACCAAAAACCACAGAAACTTGAAATTTTTAAGTGGACAACAAGAAAGGATAGAGGATCAGCTATATGAAAAATCAGCCCTCTAGCTCTAAAAATGTTGAGTGCAGAGCAGAAAGACTACCTGGGGGGGGGGGCAACCACCACCCCGCATGTGCGGGCGAGGGTTAAGATCATGAGCTTTAGATGACGTCATAAATGAGGTCAGGTCATTTTCGTGACCTCACCATTATCAGTCAATGGGGAAAAATGAAAACTGCTATTGTGGCGCCGGGAACGATCTCCAACTATCTCAAGCACACAGAATCGTGATTTGATGCACTCCTTGCAAGGTAAGATGCGTCACTTTTGCAATGTTGACCTTGCGTGACGTCATTTATGACGTCATCAAGGTCATATTAGGTTTTCGTCAATAACTCTTGATCAAATTAAGCTAGTGACTCGGGAAAGCCACCAATGGACTCAGGAAGACCTGCCGAATCGAATGATATGCGACATGACCTCTTTCGACCAACTTCGTGACCTGGGGGTGCTGACCTGACCTTGACCTGAGGTCAACACCCCAAGTTGACCTGACCCGAACAAAAAGTATATCATTCGACGCGCCTGAGCGAGGCGAACACGATGCTGCCAAAATCGCGGCTCTGCGGTCGTTTTTTGCGAAGTTATTCACCAAAAACTGAACCGTACCTTGGGGCACTTGACCTGACCTTAGAGGTCACCGGTTGACCTAGGACCTTAAAATTGGGTACCAATATCTGCGTCTCATAACGGCGCACACGCTCGTTTTTTTCCGCGACGCGCTAGCTCTACCAGGGGGCGAAACGGCGAGGGGGGTCGTACCCGCCCCGCCCCCCTCGGCCGGCGCGTATGTAGAAAACCAATAGGTCCGGCCAGAGTTAAAAAATTTGTTTCAAGCGTTTTTTATCAGCGACAGGGAAAATCCTTCATTATTGCTACCAGATTACTACCATATTCCCTCGCATTTATGTTGCGCATTGCCTCTCAAATCAGAGTTTTATGAAGCTTATACTAATTTAACCCGCGCCCCGTAGGGCTACCGGCGGACCCTACCACCCGTAGGGGGGGGGGGGGGGGCGTTTCGGCCCCCCCTAAGATCTCGGAAAGTTACCGGCCGATTTTCAAAATTCAAACGGCGTTCGATAGCCCCACCCGGGAACTACCTTGTGACCAAATTTCATTGACCTAGGTCAAACCGATGACGTCACAGGTCAGGTCAAAGGTCAGATTTTCACCGTTCACAGGCAATTCAAGAAATGTGCTGTGAAAGCGAGTAAATTGGTAATTTATTGAAAACCATCGATGGTACATTGTTCGTCAAACACATACTTTGCTATCTGAGGTCACTGATACCAGGTCAGGTCACAGCGAGGTCAGGTCACCGGGGGTCACAATATGAATGTGTCGTGTGATACATGTTTTATGGTCCATTTTACATGACAAATGCGATTATTTGGGTTAGGCAGCCTTTGGGGCCAGCCTAGGTCACGTTTTTGTGAAGGTCAGGTCAAGGTCAGGTCAAATTAGGTCAAATTTCAAAGTTGATATTTTTGCATAAAATGGGTATCGATTCGATGCAGCTCGTCACGGGGAGTCTAATGGTGGTCTTCGTTTTGCTCTACGAGTTCTAGAATTGCCAAAAATTGAGTTTGAAAATTTGACGTCATCATTTTTGAACAGTTTTTTCGCTATAACTTGGCCAAAAAACGAGGTATCGATCTGAAATTTGATATGTAGATAGAAGACGGTAGGCACTATCACATATATTCCGGTTTTTTCGAATCTCAAAAAACTTTTTGGATTTTTGGCGAATATATCAAAAAAAAATGCTTTTTCGATTTTTGGGGGTCAAAACTCAAAAATTTCAAAAATTCCAGATAGCAGTTTTGTAGCCCTGTCAATTCTACACCTTTTATGTCTTGATCATTTTTCTGTATCTTCAAAGCTGTAGTCCTGACAGGTCTTCTCGCGAAGGTCTTTTTTCGGTCGAAAATGACAGAACATGACGTCACTCTGACGTCATTTGTGGCCAACCTATCATAGCCTCTGGACAAATTTTTGGTCACAATGTGTAAAATTGATGCCCGGAGGGGTCCTGAAAGTTTGGTGGCGATATCTCCAGCCGTTTAGGAGATATCGACCGAAAAGGACAGGGAGGGGCCGTTTCGGCCCCCCCCCCCTACGGGGCGCGGGTTAATTGTCATAATTTGACTGATTTTGGCGATTATTAATTATTTCAACGCAGCATGGATCAGGAAGCTCTCATAGTTTGCTGAATAATGTGGCTTTTGCTTATTATCTGTGATTTGGTGCGTCGTGATCGTAGCATGCAAATTATTAAATCAACTTTTGAAGTAAAGTTCACATGAAAAAACAATGGACGCCATTTAATTGTGTCCCAGAAAAGCTATTTCTGGCACCTAAAAGCTGACTCGCCCCAAAATTGGTCCTCAGCACATATTTGGTGGATACCAGCACCAATCATGGAAAATGACCTTAATTAGCTGTTTCTGGCACCTATTCATCGGTACGCCTTACTCTTTTTTCTGAATCTGGCACCTAAATGCTGAGCGTAGCACCAATCTAGTAGAAAAATGAGCTACTGGCTGGTAGAATCATGTTGTTCTGGTATAATGACCCCTGGAGTCTAGCCTAAAGGTTGCCAGTGCAGCTACACTCTAAGACAGCCCCGTAGTGATCTCAAAATTGTATATGACGTTTAAGTAAGCAAATAATATTGATTTGTTTGAAAAAAATGTCATTTAAATATTTAAAAGTATTTATTTGTAATGCTTAAAGGGAAACATTTTTGTGAGTAATTGTCTCGATTTTGACCATTAAAGGGACCCTCCCACCTTAACATTTGTTTTGAGTTGAGATAGCCAAGTTTGCGGCCAGGCTAAGAAATAGAGGTCTGCACCGGCCGGCTGCAGCCGCGGCTGGCTGCAGCCCGGCCCACGGCTGTGGGCCGGGGCGGCTGCAAATATCTCCAAGAACACGGCTACGGCTGTGGCCACGGCTGTGAGATTTCAAGCTCAATCTTAAGTACTCAAATATAAAATTTTAAATCCTCAATCTTACATTCTGATAAGCAGTCTAGCCTGTAAAAATCATGCAAAGGATGCCCAGCAACATTGAAAGTGGTGAAGCCTTTGAAAACCTGTAATGGTTTTACCATTTGCTGTAGGGGAGTTTACACTCTGGTACAGAATACTAATTATAGGTACCGATTGTTCCTTCATTATCAAGAGCTTGACAGTTTCAGAAAATGCAATATGTTGCATTGTCACATCCCTCTCAAACCAATCTCACCTGGTCATTAGGAGAGCACCTTACAGCTATTGAAGACGAGCGTTCAATAATTCTTTCGGTAATAGAAAAAGAAATTACGTCTAGGTTAAGGCAGGTAAAGGCTTCATAAAATATTATCTAAAATAACTCTTAGATGTATTTCTGGATTTTCGACAAGTCCAATTACATAATATAAAACTGGCGCTTTATGTTCTAACTGGTGTGTGAGTGACCGCTAACAGAAAATGCTGATCAACGAAGCCAATGGAATTAGATTATCAGTCAGCATGAACCTTACTTACGGTTAATTCACATGATGGTTAAAACCCTGAACACGTAATTCACATGACGGTGAAAAGTGAAAACCCTGAACACAATATTTCTTACGCGAGCTGTTGACTTTACTAATAAAATGACGTTTTCTTCTGAAAACGTTAAAATTTGATAATTAATCTTTGTTTGAGAGCAAGTTTTCTACTGTTTAGCATTATTTTTTGTTGATTATAATTTTTATGGCTGTTTATAGTGACACAAAGCAATTTTTTGCCACTTCTTTGCTATTGACGTCATTAACCCGCGCCCTGCTGGGGGGGGGGGTGTTTGAACACCCCCCTTGTGGTTTTTCGCGAATAGCTCAAAAACGGCGGCGCGGAGCGCCGCCGTTTTTGGTACACCTTATCATGCATCAATTCTACACATGTTGTGAAAATTTCAGACCAAGGTCATTCAAGGTCAGGTCACCAGGTCACTTGAAGTGACCTCACCTCATAAAAAGTTTCAATGTCTGTCATAGCT